GAGGGCAGTGTCACTGGCCCTCATATGTGGGATCCGAACCAGGGCCCTCTGGCATCCCAAGCCAGTTCTTAACCATCGCGCCACTCTGCCGGCCCGTGACATATGTTTAAACACATACCATTTAAGAAATTTGGAGAGGGCTTTGATATTGGTTTCCATATATCTATCTAAAAGGAAAGACATTAAATATATTGAAATTTTAGATAAAATTGTTATGGCTGAACACAAAAGATGCTCAGCAGTGAAGATTGTTAAACTAAAGTAGACTAGCTTTTGTTTTTTTACACTGATGTTTTTAAGTTGTTACACACATTAGATGTACGTATAATATTTTCTTTCTCTGATAGGATTGCAGTGTTGTCTTTGTGGTTTTTCATCATTGTTATTATTACAGATGCTTCTGTCAGACTTTTCCCATCACCATATTGAAATGGCATGTACCCTCCTGGAAACATGTGGAAGATTTCTTTTCAGATCTCCAGAATCTCACTTGAGGACCAGTGTACTTTTGGTAAGGGCTTGAGAATCCTAGCAAGAGCTTGAGAATCTTGATTTACTTCAAGGGTTAGAAATATTGACCAGTGCTTTTATCTTGCTCTGCCATATAAATATAAACATTTCTACCTCAGCTAGAACATCTACATATGAGCTGCCATTCCTGGAGAGCCGTTGGAATTTTTCTCACTTGGCTCCAGTGAGTTAACAAATTGTGAAGGGGGATTAAGTTAAACCGAAAATAACTTTCACAAATGATGCAAATAAGCAGGTACTCTTAGTACTATATTGTGTTAGTGCCGTCTTTATGGATGTTCTTGGTACATTTCAGAGAAGCCATTGTTAATGTGCCATAAGCACATAATTTGTAAGTTTAAAATATAAAATTTTTAAAATTAAAAAACATAAAATGTAAGCCAAAAAATTAACTTGGGGGAGAAGTTATTTCTTAAGTCAGTTAAGATGCCGAAATGGCCATCAAGTTTATTAAGCAATTAAGTTCTTATGCTTCTTGATAATATCCATACATTTGTGTGTAGCCTTAGGGGGGCAGGCAGTGTGATGGGGGTGGGGTGTTGGTGTTAGTGTTAAGGAGAGCTTTGGTGTAGAAACCCCTGGGCAAGACTGTCATTACATCAGTGTTGCTGTTTATAGAAGTCTTAATTGTGTCATTTTCTCTAGACGTTATTTTTTTATAATCTAGTTGTGAACCTGAATACTCAGCCAATGACATTTAAAATGAAGAATCATGAACATTTATTTCTTTCCTTCTTCTTTTTTTTTTGATTGGGGAATTGGGGAGAGGAACAGTATTGGGGGATTGGGGAAGGGGAACATTGTGTTTTTCCAGGATTCATCAGCTCCAAGTTGTTGTCCTTTAATCTTAGTTGTGGAGAGTGCAAACTCAGCTCCAAGCTGCTTTAAATCTAGCTGTGAGGGAGTGGGGTGAGCGGGGGAGTGGGTGCAATCTACCATCTCATGCGGGAGTCAAACCTTCAGCTAGTCAGTGGTTCTCCACTGGCATCTAGTGGGTAGAGGCCAAGGTTGTCCAAAACATCCTACAATGTACGGGACAGCCCCCTCCCCCCACCTGATTATCCAATCTAAAATGTCAAATTGAGAAAGCCTGAAGTAGATTATGATTGACTAGATCTGTGTTTTTATTCACCCCTCTGAGTTGATGCCAAGGGATGTGGACAAGTTATAAGACCTTGGGGGCTTTTAGTATTCTTATCTGTAGAGATAGTCGGATTTCTGTGGTGCAACATTAGATGGCGTGAGCCCTGAGAATAAGTCTATTCTCAGCTTTGTGTGGAACAGCCAGAACCAGAGCTACCCCTATATTTAATTCTTGGTCTTTAATTTTAGCCACTCATATACACGAGCCTGTTTTACTTAGAATTCATGTGGTTGGGCAGAGTTATAAGTAAAGTCACATTTGTAGCAAAGTTCTCTGAGTATTGGACACTGCCTATGTCCAAGTAGTTGTGGATTGATTTGTTCTAAAAAACTGATTAGTGGTATAACAATTAGTGTGCCTGCACAGGTTTAGAAAAGTTTTGTTAGGAATAAAGAAACCTTTGAGTGAAAGTATTTTGTTTGACTAATGAAGACTTTTAATTTTAGGAACAAATGATGAGAAAGAAACAAGCAATGCATCTCGATGCAAGATACGTCACAATGGTGGAGAATGCATATTACTATTGCAACCCACCTCCAGCTGAAAAAACAGTGAAAAAGAAACGTCCTCCTCTCCAGGAATATGTCCGGAAACTTTTGTACAAGGATCTCTCCAAGGTTACCACTGAGAAGGTAAATCTCAGTGCAATCATAGAATAAATAGTAGCCAACTTGAGATTTGTGGTAGTGGTAAGCTTATGTAATATTCAACCGATTTTTTTTCATCCTGATATTAATAGTGTTATGAGCAATGCACTTTCCTTCTAGCCTGTGCACTAAATTATTTTAGGTCAGGAACATATACTTCAGTTTTCCTAGGTCAGTTTGTTTATAAATTGCTTCAGTGCCCCACAAAGTATAGATAAGAAATGTAAGTAACTTGCATTATTCACATTTTGTAAATAGAGAAATTAAAGCAGAGCGATTAAAGTCCCAGCCTTGAAGTTTAGGGGAGGTGGGATTAAATCCCAGGTTCCATTATGATTGACTATACAAGTCATCCTAAGAAGGAATTCATATGATGATACACAATATATGAGACATGTTTTATTTTCCTTTTATGATAATAACTCCTTACTCAAATTAAAATGGTAATTCTAAATTGAATTTTGATGCCCTATACATACAGAGGGTGTATACAAATGTATACACATTTTAAGAAAGAAAAACTGTATTAAAGTTGTAATACTCAATATATACCGATAACAAAAGATAAATACAAGTCACGTTTGACTTCTGCAATTATGAGAGGTGCTCAAAATGGTTACCGTCAGCGTCTAGACACTTGATTACAGTGAACTACTACTTGAGCAACGCTGACCAAATTGTCCACTTATATACGTTTTTTTTTGGCACCCCGGTATATTTGAAACTATGACTTTGTCTCTGGTATTCTGTAATGAATTTGCCTTCAAATATTTTGCTTCAGAACAAGGGATCTTAACCTTGAATGGGCTTTAGGAGGCCATGACCATCTGAAATTTCATAATTTTGAATCTCTCGGGCTGTTTTCCTGGAGAGGGGTCTGTAGCTTTCCTTAGATTTTTCAGCAGGGGTCAGTTTCCAGAAAAGGTTAAGAACCTTTCATCTGTTATCTTAATTATTATAGTTATCTTGATAGAAATTTCACTTTTAAGTAAGATATATTGAACAAAAACATTTTGGTTAATTCTAGTTGTAATAGTACAGTGTAGAATTTCTTTATTTTTAGGAAAAATAAATAAAGCAAATTAACTTCTGGACAGAGGAAACCTATAAGGAGGAATTAATACGTGTATTATATGTGGGCAGGGTAGAAGGTGATAAGGAATGATAGTGCAGCTTTGAAAATTGAAACCAACTTTTAGAGAATAAAAGACAGTAGTTTAAAAAAACAATAAGAAGTTTCAAAGCTGCTTTACAAGTGGCTAAAAGTTTGAAAAATATAAAATACTCATGAAGTTGAGATGACTTTAACATTTCCAGTGAAGCTGGTGAGAACATATTTAGTGTTTGAAAGATAGATTGTGGATATAGAGATGAAAGGAATATTTTGTGGTCTGCCGATTGTATCCATTTTGTTTCAGAATAGAAATGGAAAGAACTTGATTATAGGTACAGCTCTGCTGATTATGCCGTTACCAGTAGGGTTTCTGAAATACTAGTAGTTAACTTTTATTGGGTACTTATAATGTGCCAGACACTTCCTATATATTTCACATGTTTTAACTTGTCTAATCATTACAAAAAACAATGAAATAAAAGCTTTTATTATCCCTCTTTTACACATGAGGAAACAGGATGCTATGTAATGTCAGTCTTGATGTTGTGTTCTCCATCTTAAGTAACCTTATAATCAGTGGAAATTTTTATTTATAAAAAGAAGTGTCCAAGATTATTTACATCAAATCATGCACAAAAGAAAACATTTTTTATAAACCTTGGGTATTTCTTTCAGTGACCTTAGTATACGAGTGTATACTGTTAGCTTGATTGAAGACGTAGAAACCCTTTGAAATGTGAGGGCATTGTGAAAAGAAATAGGAAAAACGTGAATAAATTTTGCCAATAATTAGAAAATTTTCATATTTTTACCTCTAAAGTGAAAAAGCTGAGTATCTCTAAAGTATTTTGCATTTCAAAAGTTCTTTATCTACATCATCATAATAAAATATATTACTGGGTACATTGGACAATGTCCTTATCTTAGTAATTTAAACAAATTCTCTTCGTTTAGGTTTTGAGACAGATGCGAAAGTTACCCTGGCAGGACCAAGAAGTGAAAGACTATGTAATTTGTTGTATGATAAACATCTGGAATGTGAAATATAATAGTATTCATTGTGTAGCCAACCTCTTAGCAGGACTAGTGCTCTACCAAGAAGATGTTGGAATCCATGTTGTGGATGGAGTTTTAGAAGATATTCGATTAGGAATGGAGGTAATTGGCGTTTGTGGAGAATTTAACTTTTAAATTCTATTGTTGAAAAATAATAATTTGAAAACTTTCCTTTCCCATGTGGTGTCATTTGCTATTATTGGGTTGTCAGAAAAGTCATGATGCATTTTTGTAACGAAAAACATAGGAAATATACATCATGACTTTTCCGACAACCTCGTACTGTTTTGGAACTAGCGGTTTCTAAATAAACCCTGTTGTGTTTGATTTCCGAGACTTCTCTCAGGCTAATGCTGGACATTTTTTGTCTCTTTCTCTCAAGTCCAGTTAAGCTTACCTTGGAAGAGTATAACAAATTTTTATTTCTAGGTCACTACTGGGACTCAAGTTGTAAGAATCTATAAATTTATTAGTTAGAAGAGTTGATAATCATTTGATAAGAATTTCTGTAAGCATATCCCTTTTTCTATATAGGCTTATTGTTTCCGTAATTCATGAATTACAGAGAAAATAATTTATGTGGGGCTGATAGGGACAATTACATCTTAATTGTTTTAGAAACTATCAGTTCATTTAATAATAGCTTAATACTAAACAATATTTAACATGTTCTTTAAAGACAGCCATTTCCTAGTGAGAGAAAAAGGACACCCAAAAGTGACTGCCTTACTAGAAAAGAAGGAAAGAACATATTATTTTTTCTCTGTTCAGTGTTCTTTAAGTAGTTGATATTGTCAAGTGACAAAGTGGAATTTTACCTCTTTTCAAACACATTACTATTTTTTAATGGAAATCTTTTATTTTTTTCTTTAGGTTAATCAACCTAAATTTAATCAGAGACGTATCAGCAGTGCCAAGTTCTTAGGGGAACTTTATAATTACCGAATGGTGGAATCGGCTGTTATTTTTAGAACTCTTTATTCTTTTACTTCATTTGGTGTTAACTCTGATGGCTCTCCAAGTTCACTGGACCCTCCTGAGCACCTTTTCAGAATTCGACTAGTGTGCACTATTTTGGATACCTGTGGCCAGTACTTTGACAGAGGTTCCAGTAAACGAAAACTCGATTGCTTCCTTGTGTATTTTCAGGTATATAAACTGAAATATGCAGTTTTGTTTCGTTTAATGCATTGCTTGTGTTACAAAAATATTAGATAAGAAACCCTGTAGCACTCATATACCCTGTATATGTTCATAATTAAATTAGATTATTCTTCCTGCAAGGATGCTTTAGAGATTTAAAAGTAAAATTCAATGAATTCTATCATATAAACATTCTAATTGCATTGTAACTTTTATGATTGATAATGCTTGATCATTAATTTTTAATATTATTTTGATACAGTTTATAAATTTGGTACAGTAATTTATGAATTATGGTATTTGTTACAGTAACTTATGGAGTAAATTACTTGTGATTTTTATACATTTGATAACCTTTTCCTCACTCATCTGTGTTCTGGCTTTACATCTAAAATAGTTGTTTCTAAACAATTTAACATTTTTCAAGAAAAAAGCTCACTTTGGGGAAAATAAATTTTTTAAGATTTTATTGGAGAATTGGGGAACGGAAACAGTGTTGGGGAATTGGGAAAGGGGAGCAGCCAAGTTGTTGTCCTTCAGTCTTAGTTGTGGAGGGCGCAGCTAGCTCAGCTCCAAGTCCAGTCGCCATCTGGCCGCCCGTTGGCAGCTTATGACTGCTTAGCTCAAGGTGCTGTGTTCAATCTTAGTTGTGGGGCGCGCAGCCCACCATCCCATGCAGGAGTCGAACCAGCAACCTTGTTGTTAGGAGCATGTGCTCTCACCAGCTGAGCCATCGGGCCACCTGTTGGCAGTTCAACAGCAGCTAAGCTTAGGCACAGCTCACTGGCCCATGTGGGAATCGAACCGGTGAGCCTGTTGCTCAGAGCTCACGCTCTTAACCAACTAAGCCACTCGGCTGGCCCGAAAATAAATTATTTTTAACACAGAAAAATGTTTGTTCACTCATTGTTAAACTCTTGGGTTGTGCTTTTCGTATCTTTAATTTTAGTTAATTATGTAAGCTTATGCTTTAGAGAAAGTACAGTATAAATTAAATTCAGATACAAATACCCAGACAATTCTACAACTTCTGTGAAGTTGGTGTTCCAAAAGTTAATTTATAGGTTGGTTGTTTGGAACCCAATCACTATTTCCCATAAAATACAATGTTGTAAGTACTGATTAGAGTGAATAGAGCTATCGAATTCTCAGATGTTAGTGAAATAAAGTACTGTTAGTGCCATTCAGTTCTATATGATCACTATTGTTAGTATTATTTTCATTTGTCCACTGATGAAGAAAATAAATTTAAAACTACAACTTGAGGTGTCAGAAATACACCCATGTAGTGGCTGGTGTTATGTGGGTTAAACACTCTTGGGGAAGAGCAGTTTGTTAACGTTCTCTTACCATTGTACCTTTGCAAGAAAGGACAATTTGTTACTCCCTTAGTTTCTGAATTAATGAGAAAAAATGGAGAGGGGAGTTGCAGATTTGAGGGTCAGATTCCCTGTTTTCTGTAGGGACTGTCTTAGGTAGGAGACTGCCTATATTGAAAACCAGAGTTTTGTTGTGAAATGTCAGCCATAGCTATCAGCATCCAAAGCGGAATCTCTTTCAGAAGAGAATCCTTATGTGCATTCATTCTGACATCCCAGGCTGGGAGAAAAGAGCCACTCAGAAATAACCAGGAGCAGGAAGAGACAAAAATATTTTCCATGTTGATGAACAGACAGATATGTGTAGCCGGGATAAACCTGGGGAATGGGAGTAAGAAGTGAGTGAGGCCTGGGAGATGAGGTGGTCCATGCGTTCTGCCTAGAACATAGAGCGAACAGTTATGTGTTGGAGGACCAGGTAGAAAGGATCACCAGCAATAGTGCTTCTAAACTTTAATGTACATACATGTCATCTGGGGATATTGTTAAAATGCAGATTATGATTCAGTTGGTCTAGGGTGGGTGCCTAAGACTCTGTATTAAAAACAAGCCCTCATTTGAAGTCCGTGCTTTTGAGTAGCAAGGACCTAGAACAAATTGGAGAGGAAGAATAAAGCACCCAGATGAATACCTGCTTATATAAATTCTTGGGTTGTGCTCTTTAGTTAATGTTAACTTACAAATTATAAGTATAAAATAGAATAAGGGAACCAGGATAGGAGAAGACAGCGAAAATATCTAAACAGTGCCATATACACAGTAGGTGTTCAATAAATGACTGTTGATTAATTATTTTTATTAAAAAACCATTTTCACATACTTTAATTGACCTTTGAAAAAAAAATCAAAGCAGATGGCGTAGGGGAAATAATGAAAATTTATAAAAACTAGGGCTTTGAATCTGATTGTTCTCGTAAAATTAAATATTTAAACCCTGTTTGGGGTTTGGGAGTGGGGTTTCTGCCTTGTTTCAGTACCTGAATATTTATTTGGTATTTTATTTATAATTTTTCCTTGCCTTTAAAAAAAAGATTATGACAGTTATAATAAAACAATATTTAAATTCAAGTCACCAAATGGCTTAGAAACTGTATAATGAGGGGAAATAATTGGAATAGGATCATTGCTGTTGACCATTAATAAAAATGTAGGTGTCTTATACAACTTTTTAGTTTAGTTATTATAACTAGGTAGCATCACAGTACAGATTATTATTTTAAAATATTTTTGTTATTAATTTCTTATAGCTAAATTTATTTTTCATTTGTTGTCAGCGTTATGTTTGGTGGAAGAAAAGTTTGGAGGTTTGGACAAAAGACCATCCATTTCCTATTGACATAGATTACATGATCAGTGATACACTAGAACTGCTAAGACCAAAGATCAAACTCTGTAATTCTCTGGAAGAATCCATCAGGCAGGTACAAGACTTGGAACGAGAATTCTTAATAAAACTAGGTAAGCAATTAATTACAGAGAGAAAAATGAAGGTGATATTTAGCAGATTGTTTCTAGAATTTGCTTTATAATGTTATCAATTAGAGTTTCCTTTTGTATACTTTTTATTTTCAATGTTGAGTATTACATAGTAGTGTTAGATAAGATCTGGGTATCATACTTTATTTCATTAAATAACCCCAAATTGGAGGTTAATAGTCATGTAAGACTTGAAGCAAATGATGGTGGAAGAAACAATGCTGTTGGCCTCTCTTAATTTTAGAATTTTTGGTTGCTAATATAAAACTCTACGTTGGATTAAAGCATCTCATAATACAATATATAGTTTCAACAAGCTTTATTTCCTAAGACAGTATAGGCTAGAAACTATAGGAGGGGAGTAAGTACCTGTTAGAAGTTTGGAACTATCCTACAGAATTTCAGATTCCCTGAGAGAGTCATTTCTGTTTGTAAGGACTAGAGAAAATGTGACAGACGTGCTACAGGAGGATTGATCTATTTACTTTCTCAGTATCCTTCTGAGATTGCTCTGGAAGAAGACTTAGCTCTTAAATAGCTCCCATCAGGGACTGTAGTTGCTGACTAACTTTGTCAGTGGAAATAATAGAAATAAGGTGTAGTCATATCTGGTTTACTTGCCAATACTTCTTAGCATATTTCATTTTAGTCATTTCAAAGTGACGACATGTTTTCAGGCTATTAAGTTAGTATTTTTTTTCCTGCAGACACTTGGTACTCGTAAGTCTGTTACTAGATCTTACCTTCACCAATTATACCAATTGTGTAAACTTACTATGTTGCATATCTGAAGAACCACTTTTCGTACTGAAGGCAGTTGTGATTTTTGTCCTCTAAAATTGTTTTTTTGTATTATTTCCAGCATATTAATAGGATTTCTTTCTCCAAAGGTAAATCCTCTTTTGGAGAATATGATTGCTGTTATCAATTTGAGCATTATTTTTAAAGGATCTCCTGATTGTGCGACTATTAACTTTTCCTACTACTCAGTCTATAAAGGCATATGTGATTCTTTTTTGTTCTTTGAACTTTGTCTCAAATTGTTTTCCTTTTCAGGTTTCTAGTTGTATAAAACAATCTTTTCAAGCAAAGTGCTTATTTTTTTACATATTGATTTTATTTACTTTATATGCTTTCAGATAGTTGAGTCTTAGCCTTGTTTTCTGAAAACACTTAGGAATGGTACTCTCTGTATAGAGGGCATGAGGAAATACTAGTTTGACACCCAGGTTGTGAGCAGTAAAGGGAGCAGTGTGCTTTATCCATTATAGACCAAAAAGTTAAATTAAAGGACTTGAGGCATCTTTTGAGGAGCCTGTCCTTGTTTAGAACATAGGAAGGGAAAAATAGGCCACCATTTGCTAATGAAACCCTAAAGATGGCGGCAACTATCATTATGCTACCAAGTTGTCCCATTTTTCTCCTGTTTTAGAGTGTAAATATCAGTAAGAAGATCTACATAAGTACTGTATTAAATCTATTTCCTGTTGGCAAATCCATAAGATGATATAGTATCGTGCCTTTGATCGTTTTTTGTGTTCAAGCACTTAGCAAATTTAGTATCTCATTTTAGATTTATAGCAACCCAGTGCTAACATAATAGTTAATGGGAAAACACTAAAAACATTCCCTTATAATGGTTTAAAATCATTTTGAAATCATTTTAATATTATTAAAAGTAATAAATGTCTATGGTAGAAATTTTGAGAAATACCAGTGAAACAAAAATAACATGTTCCATATACAAGGATAATTATGTGTTAACGTTTCCATATATTTTCTTCTATTAAAATTTTTTCACATTTACAATTTTATAACTGGATTTTTTTTCCCCACTTAATACATTATGGAATTTCTTACATAAAATATTTTTTTGAATCTTTATGTTTTTTAAAACTGGCTATATATATTGCCTTGTATGAATGTGCCATAATTTATTTAATTCTGTTATTTGACACTTGCTATTTCCAATTTTGCATCATTATAAATAACATCTTGTGTTATTTTTATGTGTATCTTGGTTTTTCTCAGGATAGGTAGAATTACTGGCTAAGACATTCTTTTTAAGAACAAAATTGAAATGGTGATAGCAATATTATTTAATTCTGGTTTGGAAGTTTTAGATAGTATAATAAAAGAAACAGAAATGAGGGAAATAAAAGTGAAAAAAAAAAGAAGCCATAAGAATAAATTGCATTATAAAGCAAAAGAGTGTACTTCATAAATTAGAAATAAAATCAGTAAGATTGAATAGAAGGCCCAGAAGTAACCCCAGTTAAACACAAAACAATTTATGATGCGGTGAACTAGCAATGTTAAGGATAGGATAAGGGCAACAGATGAGCATTTGGGAGGAAACTTGATAGAAAGCCACATCTTATGTCATCACACTTCAGATGGAGTAATTAAATATTTTTTAAAAGTTAAAAATAGATCTGATTATCAAATATGTGAAGAGGTGTTAATTTTCCCAAATTTTAAACTGATAGAAGAAAGTACACATGTAGACAGATTTAGATATTTTAACTGTTATACAATAAAAATTTAATATTAAATGAAAATGAAAATAGTTTTCTTGCCAGGTTATTAGCATTTACGTAAAGAGCATAGGCAAATTGATAATAAAATTGAACACCCCAATATATAAATGAACATGACATAATCAAATAAGGGAGGGCAGGGAAGAGTTTGGTGTTTTTATTGAGTACTACCTGTTAGGAGGAAGGTAATGTTACTCATATTTGACAGATGGGTTAAGTAAAGCCCAAATCAAAACACTGGATTACGTAGTCAAGCCAGAATTCAAGGACTCTGCTCTTTCTGGTGTGTTAGTATGTAGGGTAAATGCTCAGCATGTCTAGTAAACAGAGAAATATAAATGAAAACAGTCTGAAAGGAAAAAGTTTAATTATTACCATCTCTTTTATGAACAGGAAAGCTGAAGGCACCTCAAATTCAAGACAATAGTATTTAATTTTGATCCCAAGTACACTTAATTCTGACACATACACATTTTAATATTTTGCTGTTTGGATTTGGCATTTTGTCATCCCTGTGTCCTTTATATATACATTTTAATCTACATTGTTTATTTTAGGTTGACAATGGCCCAGGGGTCAACAGCTGGATAGTATTTATATAGTTTAGCAAATGTAAAATATTATATTTATAAATTGTTTTTGAAACTAACTTGCAATGCAAATGAAAACATGTTAGAAATAGTATGTATTTTCCTTACAAATTAGAAGTATGGCTTTCAAGACAAAGCTATTTATTATATATTATAGTTTTTCCCATGACACATATTTTAAGTGGATATAACAAGGAAGGGTGTGATGGTATCTCAGGCCACGTGAGTTTATCACCACTGTGATGTTTTTACTGAGAATTCTTATATTTATACAGTCCTGACTTTCAGTCTTTTGCCTTTGGTAAGTTAAAACATTTTTGCTTCTTAAAGTCCCTATAAATAAATACAATTTACATATATAAAATTTATGTCTGTATCCTTGAAAACTATCAATAAGTAGAAAATATTTAATTTCATGGAGCCTCAATCTGAGACACCAACTTTTTTTCTCAGTATTATTTTCCTTTTAAAAAAAATCTCTGAGCTCCATCTGTCCTCTCAGTTTTTTTTAAATTTACAAACTTGAACATAACCTACTTTAATTACTCTGTACTTCCATATTTTTGTCAGTTTTTAATTGCTTAGACTTAAAGCACTGAAGTGACTTTTTACTTTTATTGGTTGGTTTATTCAAACTCTCTGGGCTGCAGTATTCCTCATAAAATGAAAAGGTTAAATCATAAATCACACCATTTTTGTAAAGTTTCTTTCTATTCTAATTGCTCAAGGTTCTGTGAATAAACAAGTATTTACTAAACACCTACTGTGTATCAATATATGGCCTCTGATAAGTTTAAGTACATAAAACAAATTCTTTGTCCTTAAAGGTCTTATGATCTAATGTAACACTTATTAAATTATTTTTTTTTAATTACATGGCATATCCTTAAATGTAAAGTGCTATGATAAATTCTGCAAATGCTTTAGGAGCAAGAAGGAGGAAAAGTAATGGATTAAGTACTCAGTGATGCAGGAAGTAAAACTTAGATTGTACTTGAGGAATGCACAAGATTTGAAAATGCATATTGAAGGATATTCTCTATTGAGAAGAGTAGTTGATGAGCAAGATCGCAAGGTAGTGTGCTTTAATGACAGAGAAGAGACTGACCCCACTAGCAGAAGGCTTGGGAGAAAGCAGGGGAGAGTCAGATCATGTGAGGCCATATTATGTGCATCTTGAAAGTAGAGATAGTAGTTTGGGATTCAGATGATAATGAAGAAGAATTGAGCAGACAGTAAAACGTGGATGAACATGGGGAGGTGGAAGCAAATTCAAGCCAGGGAGTTCCCTTAGGGGGAGAATGCTGTTACTGAAGGGAAAAACTAAGCTCTGTGGTGACACAGCTGCTGGGTGTGTCACCATACGGCTTGGCCTCCTTCCCTCAGTCTTAATTTGCAGACATTCAAATTGATAGCCAAATGCGATTTCTCCATTCAAGCGACATAATTTTATATCTTTGAGTTTTTAGAGATTCTTGAAATATTATTTGCTTAAAAAGTGTGACCAAAGTGCATCTTATCTGGCTGCAGTGGCACCGTAATATGCTGCTACTTTTTGCCTTTTTTTTTTTTGAGACTGAGATAAACAGTTGGTAGCTCTAACTTAAGAAAAGGAAAAAAAATACACTTTTTTTTTTAGTTTGTACTGGTGGTTAAAAATAATATCATTGCTCCATGTTGAAATGAAGGTCTGTTTAGTTTTTTTAAATGTTTCTCAAAATAATTTTAAATTCAATTCTTATTTTACTATTGTTCTGAGAAAGTGACTGTTGAATTTTCTTAATGCATACTTTTAAATGAAGTGGTCTAATACTGAAAACTTGCCTTTACCTGTTTTTAATGTGTTATTCCGCTTTCTCCTCATTTCAAGGCCTAGTAAATGACAAAGATTCAAAAGATTCTATGACAGAAGGAGAAACTCTTGAAGAGGATGATGAAGAAGAAGAAGGAGGAGTAGAAACAGAAGAACAGTCTGGAAATGAAAGTGAAGTAAATGAACCAGAAGAAGAGGTGATGACTTTTATTTATAGCAAATAGGTACATTTGTACAAGAGTATTTTGATTATATGAGCCAAGATTTTCTTTAATGTGTAAAATAAGATCAACTCCTTAGTTTTATTACAATAAATGTAGCTAATAGTATATGTCTGTTAGAAAACCTTTGGATTAATTAAGAGTTTTTTGGGTTTTTTTCTAAGTAAATACTGATCATAGGATTGTTTTTGTTATTAAGACTATTTCTTTAGAGCAGTTTTAGGTTTATAGCAAAATTGAGGGGTAGGTACAGACATTTTCCATATACCCTCTATCCTCCAGATATGCATAGCCTCCCCCATTATCACCATCCCCCAGAAGAGTGGGATATTTGTTACATTGATGAACCTACATTGACACTTCATAATCACCCATAGTCCATAGTTTAATTACGGTTCACTCTTGGTTTTGTAAGTTCTGTGGGTTTGGACAAATGTATAATGACGTGTATCCATCATTATGGTTAGGATTTTTTACTTAATAAGCAATTTGAAGAAAAAAATTGATCTCCTGTGTATCTTAATCTCACTTCTTTTTTTTTTTTTTTTTAACATGAGTCATCCTGCCACCAGTTGGCAGCTCAGCGACAGCTCAGCTTGGGCCGGGCATTGAACTGCTGTTGTTCAGAGCTTGCACTCTTGAGCGAGCTCTTAACCAACTGAGCCACTCTGCCGGCCCTTAATCTCACTTTTGAATATGAACTTTAACTATGGGTTTTATTAAAAAACAACAACAACAACACACACACACACACACACACACACACACACACACACACACACACACACTAAAACCCACTGACTGACTAGATATTAATGATCTTTGCTTTATATTTCCCAGATATAATGGTTTACGAAATCTGAAATTCATCATGCACCACAATTACTGACATGCTGTTTTGTTTTTATGCCTGTTAGGCTAAACCATATGAAATTGCCATTCTGCCCTTTTGGACCTACCAAAATGTCATTTTCATATGGTTCAGCATAATAGTTTTAATTCTTCCCTTTTTTCTTCTAAACCTGCGTAAGTTTTCAAAGTTCCAGCTAAAATAATAGAATGTCTGGGATTTGGTTCATAATCTGGACGTACACTGAGAAGTAAGTTAGGGATATAGAAGAAGCTATAAGCTGACCATTAGCTAATAATTGTTCAATTATGAAATGAGTAAGTGTTCGTTATGCTATTCAGTCTCTATTTACATATATTTAAATTAGAGTTAAAAAAAGCAGGATGAATAAGGGTAATAATAAAATACTAATGAAACTAGAATTTCAGTCATAGAATTAGCACTTTTCCATTCGTTTTAGTATAAGCATAAGTTTATAATTATTAAATATTAAGGTGTGTATAGTGTTCTTGTGTTCCTTGGGTGCTTAAAGCATTTAGGGAGAATGTGATAATTTAGACATGTTATTTTAACTGTTCTGAGCATTAGTTTTTTTCACGTATAAAAATGGGGACAGTAAAGCTTACCCTTCCTTCTTCAGAATTGGGTACAACAAACAAAATCAGGTATGTGAGTACCTTCCAAACAGGTGTTTTATACAATATAGTGCTCTATAAAATTTAGTGTCATTGCATTCTGTTGTTAATGATGTTAAAATTGAACTGTTGCTTTTCTTTGCAGTTGGTTGAATATTTAAAAAATGACTGTGTCAGTCTCTCAAGTTAGTTAGGAGAAAAATACAAAAGGTTCGGGAAACCCATTCCTTGTGCAATTCAAGAACGAGATTCTACAAAGAATCTGTATTATTAGATCAGTGGAAGATAGTGAAATGGGGTTTTAGCTCCTAGTATTTAGCTACTGGTATGTAGTTTTAGCTGACTTTGCCCTAACATTGAGAATAATAATTATATAGAAGTTTCACCTTCTTTGTAAAATGTAACCCTTTTCAAAATGTTTTAATCTTCTATTGTTAAACAATTTCAGGAGGGTTCTGATAATGATGAGGATGAAGGAGAGGAAGAAGAGGAAGAGAATACAGATTATCTTACAGATTCAAATAAGGAAAATGAAACTGATGAAGAAAATACAGTATGTATCTTTTTTTGCTTCTTGAAATTGCAACATTTTCATAGTATTTCAATTTTAGCCACTGAAGTTTTGTTTCTTGTGATTATTGAAAAATATTTCTTTGGAAATTTATTTGCAATTTGTTTTCCTAAGTAATTTTCTTTATTAACTAGTTCTTTTAACATTTAATGTTACATATTTTACTCATTCCTTGAGGTACGTTGAACAAGTTATTAATACAAAAGGTTCTGCCATGCAAAACATTACAGGTAAAGTTTCTGGTCTGATTTCTTGTTATTGTTTTGTTTTAATAAGGAGGTAATGATCAAAGGAGGTGGACTTAAGCATGTACCTTGTGTAGAAGATGAGGACTTCATTCAAGCACTGGATAAAATGATGCTAGAAAATCTTCAGGTATTAAATGTTTCTCTATTCCAAAGTATCTTCTCAATGCAAAATATTGCAGCATAGTTAATTCCAGTTAATATGAGCACCTCTACTGTCTAAGCACTTGCCTTTGCAGCAGCTTTTTCCTAGTTTGTATGGTTTGCAGCTGCCAGTACTTGCATTCCACATCCTGATTTGCACTTTTCTTTGAGATAGTGTGGGGGGAAATTTAGTAAATATAAGACTTGAAGCAAAGTAATTTCATTGCACCAACCTCTGCCTTTTCTTTCTGAATCATATCTCTATTTCTAAGACCCTTTACTTGTAGTTTGTTTAGAAGTCACACTTTGTAGAAGATAAATATTTGGGAAATTTAATTTAGTAAATTCTTAAGTTTGATTTATAATTGGAATAACTTGTATGTAAATATTTATAGGAATATTAGTTATTAGATCTTTAAAGAAATGTTTTTTAATGTTATTTAAATGTTGCTTAAATGTTATTAATGAATTAATACACTGGATTTTATAAAAAGCTCTATCATCCCAGTAATTTAGAGAATTATCTTTTTCTATAGTTAGAGGTAAAATCCCATAGGCGATTTACTTTAGCCCTATACACAGTAGCTGTCGTTAAGCACTTTGGTGACTTGAGAAGGGTACTATTTTTGGAATGGTGGGATAAACACTCCATGGTGTGGATTTAGTGGCAAATGGGAAGGAAGGAGGTGAAAATACTGGATACAAATATTGCCAGTTCTTGAGGAGTTTTAACTAGAAAGGGAAGAGAAGTGAGGAGGTAGCTAGAAAAGGTCAGAGCTAAAAGGGGAGGGTTGTTATTAAGATAGAAGATACTAGAGTCTTTATGTGCTGGTGGGAGTAATCCTTTAGAGAAGCAATAATGGATTTTACTTTCATTGATGCTACTATGGCCAAAAACTATGATAATGTATGTACAAATTAGTATTAGACCAATTTGCTTCTTCCTGCATATATTAAAATTTCTTCATATGTATATAGAAAGCTCTTAATTTATGAAATAAATCATATTCATGTCATTTAGGAGCAGAAATCATCAAATAAAACATAATCATAATCCTTTGAAGAGATTATAAGCAGTTTTCTTTGTAAAGAAGATTTTCCTATCTTACATGAGTCAATAGCCACTTATTTAGGCATTTGTTTGTCTGGCAAGTATTTGTTGAGCATCTACTATGTGCCTAACACTGCAGCAGGCTTATCATAAAGTAGTAAATAAAAATAGACCTGCTTCCTGCTCTCAGAATGTAGATTTTTATGGGGAAGGTAGATATTTAACAACTAAACAAATACATAATTTCAAATTGCAGTAAATGCTAAAGTACTAAAAGAACAGAGTGCTTTGGTTGAGAGTAAGGGAAGGGCCTTCTTTAGATACGATAGTCAGGAAAGGCATCTCTGAGATCGTGAATTGCAGACAGGACAGGTAAAAGGAGCCATCTAGGTGAAAAATTGCGAGAATATGGGAACAATTTGTCAGAGGTACTGAGGCAGACAAGAACTCACAATGTTTGAAAAACTAAAAGCAGGCCAGTATTAATAGAACAAAGTCAATCTGTGGAAGGCTGGCACAGCATGAGAATGGATAACTCCGGTGGGACACCTTTGAAGTGGCATGGTCCAATATGGAGGTGGCTCAGACAGGGAGAAAACTAAAGCTGGGAGACTAATCCGGGAGATGGTTAGAAGGCTGTTAGGGTAACCCACGAGCCACGATCGGTCGTCTGTCTAGCATAGCGGCAGGACACGTGGAGAGAAGTTTGGGTTTGAAAGCTGCTTAGGGGGAAGAAAGAATTGGGCTTGTTTGGTGCTTGATTGCATAGTGGTGTGTGGGAGACGAGGAGTCAAGGATGACACGCAGTGTTTTAGCTGGGGCCACTAGCTCGTCTCTGTGACAGGAAACAAGGGGAGAGTGAGCAGGCGTTCCACTTGACCGTGGTAAGTTTGAGAAGCCTGTGAGGTGTCAGAAAGGAAATGCCTGGAGATCAGAAGAGAAACACAAACATAGAGTGTTTGTTTGAGCGTATTTATAGCCATGGCAGTATATAAACCGCTCAGGTGTAAAGTGTGGAGAGACGGGGAAGCAGGCTCAGGGTTGAACCCTCAGGAACCCCAACATATAATTTACGGATAATTTACAAATCAAGATTCGTCTAACATGATCCTTTCAAATTTTAAGTAAAAAAATCTTTATAATCTTACAAACCTTGGAGAACTTTAAGCAAATTCTAACAAATTGGAATTTAGTAATCAAAAACAATAAAACTTTACTCTTTTTACCATTTTGTGTGACTTGCAAGTTTTTTGTACAATGGAGCCTATATCAAAAGACTATTTAAATTGTAGTAATTTTAAAACCTTCATGGCCTTTCAGCATTACCTGCTTAACTTTGAAGAATCATTTTAGCTTTTGCCTCATTTGTGCTCCACTTATCAGACATAGAAAATTATTTGTAGTCCCCTAAATACACCATGCTGTTTCATGTCTTTGCTTTTGCACCTCTTCCCCTAAGTCCCCCCTCCCCCTCCATATCACAAAACTGCTCTTTGACCTTCTTGGAAGAATTCATATGAAGTCTTTGACATTCTTCAATGTCCCATTTTTATTGAACCTTTCATTCAATCTCAGCACCTGCCCATTCCCAACCGGGCCTAACTAGTCACTCCATCCCCATCACAGGTTGTACATAACTTGGATGAATTGTGAGTAATTAATCTATTTCTCTCTCTCACTTAACAAGTTTATCAGTTCTTTGAGAGTAGACTCTTTTTAGTATTAATATCTCTAAGCCTAACACAGTAAGTCTTCAGTGAGGGTTTATTTCAATAAATTGGTTGATAAATCTAGTGTAAATGTTAAAAATAATTACTACAACAGCCAGGTAGTTAACCTGAACATTAATAGATTCCATTTATGTGTGAATATTAATTGAGCACCTGTTGTGTGTAAAGCATTGCTAGAGGACACCAGGGAAAGGATATATGGTGATAAACCCCACCAGTCTGGTTGGGGATTCTGACATATAAGCAGGCAATAATGATACATAATTATGAAGGAAGATGTGTGCTGTGAGTATGACTGAAACAGTACAATGCATTTGAGGAACAGGGAAATTTAGCAGAACGTATTATACAGCATTGTGTGTTTGGGCTTGGAGGTGCTAGAGTGATAACCAGGAGCAAAATCTCAGTCCTTCCAAGGTATATGGAAGGATTTGGGAGCAGGAAAGCCCCGGTTTCATCTGCCTTTCAGGAAGATTACTCAGGCTCTAATGATTGTGTTTTAAGAAATATAGCTCTGGGCCAGCCAAGTGGCGCGTTGGTTAAGAACTGGCTTGGGATGCCAGAGGGCCCCAGTTCGGATCCCACATATGAGGGCCAGTGACACTGCCCTCTACAGCTAAGATGCTGAACAACAGCTCAACCTGGAGCTGGGCTGCTGTGAGTCAAAGGCTACGGCATAGGCTACAGCCCCTGTGGCAGTGAGTTGCCATGGGCTACCGTGTGTAGCCAGCAGCCAGCGTGAGCGGCTAGCAGCTGCAGTGAGCAGCCGTCCAGAAGCTGGCGACTGATCTGCCTCACCCAGGAAGAGCGCAATGATGGGCACCAACTTGGGCTAGTGAAGCAACGTCCTCCACAACTAGACTGAAGAACAAGCAACTTGTCTGTTTCCCTTCCCCCAATTCCCCAGCGCTGTTCCCATCCCCCCAATTCCCCAATAAAAATCTTAAAAAAAAAAATATATATATATATATATATAGCTCTGAATGAATTGTTTGCAGTTTATATTTACATATATCCTTGTGTACCTCAGAGTATTTATATCTTTTCACTTTTGTCTTTCAGCAGCGAAGTGGCGAATCAGTTAAAGTACACCAACTTGATGTTGCTATTCCCTTGCACCTCAAAAGCCAGCTGAGAAAGGGGCCCCCACTCGGTGGTGGGGAGGGAGAGGCCGAGTCCGCAGACACAATGCCGTTCGTCATGTTAACAAGAAAAGGCAATAAACAGCAGGTATGGAACTGCCCACGGTGTATTCACAGTTGATTGCTAGTTATCAGTGTAAGGTGAGAATTTGTTCTCAATTCTCTCTTGCCGACAAGGGGAAAGAGTTGGAAACACTGAAAGTATTCAGTGGAAGAAATAATTTTATTTAATATATGTATAGAAGACACATCTGACTTACCAATGGATAGTTTTTAATGGAACGGACATTGAAAATTTAAATGCATATATATTTATTAGAATATATAGTTACCTTGACTTTCAGTAGGAAGGTTTCCTGAGTGCACTCAGGGTAGGAAAGGAAAGGAGGATGACAGATACAACTCAAGCTGCCAAGATTTCTGTTGAAAATCATTGTTTTTTTGGTCCCTAATCCTCCTCTATCCTCCTTAGCCTGCTTCCCTCTTCTTTCCTGTGTCTCACAGACTCTAGTCCTCAATCATTTCCCCGACTCCTAAGCTGTTACTGTAGGGATTCGTACATTGACAGCTCACATCCTGCTCGGGGAGATAGGCAAACATCATATATTTGCAGATGGTAAAAAGTGTATGAAGAAAATAAGGCCTAACTCTCAGACACAACTCTGGGATATATCATATATTACCAATGGTGTAAAAACGTTCCTGAAATCAAGCTGCCTCTTAGAGTTGATGGAATCTTGTCATAATTGGCAGCATTTTCCTGTTTTAGTGGTGTGTAAAATCTTGTTATTCATGGAATGTTAGATTCTATGAAATAGGGTAGCTACCACAGCTTCTCATGGACAGGTCTGATACACTTGGCTCCCACACTCATTCTAATAGTCACTTAACAGATATTTATTGTTTACTTGCTATGCACCAGACACTGTTCTGAGTGTAGAACATACAGCAGGCAACCAAAATCCCTCCTTTCTTGGGAGCTTTCATTCTAGGGTTGGGAGCCAGACAATAAAGAAATATATAATGTCAAGTTGGGAAAATGCTATGAAGGAAAATAAAGCAAAATAAGAGGATAGAAAGCGCATGGGGTGGGGAGGAGGCAATGAGAGGAAGACGGCTACTTTAGATGGATGATCAGGGCAAACCTCTAAAGTGTGTCATCTACTATGGAGGGATATTCTGTCTCCTCCATACCAGCGCACCCCCAAAGAGATGATTCCTAATTTCATCTTGGCTTTCGTCACGTCGTTTCTTGTTACACAAAGGCTCAAAGTTGCACAGTATACCATTATTTTGCTATAAGGAGAGTAAATCTTGAGATGCGAAAAGTATACACCAATTAAAATGTGGAATGGAGGGCTGGAAAGGCTATACATCGTGACTCATGTTAATAGTTAACTTGACTTAGGTTCAGAGCACTGCTGTATCTTTCAGACACCTCCTCATAATTCCTTTCTAGTTATCAGGCATTTACTCTATCCCAGGCTCTTGGGTTATGATGCTTTCAGGAAAGTTTCTCCCTGTCCCACCCTCAGGCCAGGGTTAAGCGCTGCCATTTCCCCACTCCCCCATCCCTCCCTCATTCTCTAGAAAAATTAGGGCTTGGGCCGGCAGAGTGGCTCAGTTGGTTAAGAGCATGAGCTCTGATCAACAGGATCCATGGTTTGATTCCCACATGGGCCAATGAGCTGCGCCTGAGCTGCCAACAGGTGGCAGGATGGCTTAGCTGGTGAGAGCACGTGCTCCTAACAACAAGGTTGCCAGTTCAACTCCCGCCTTTGATAGTGGCCATGCCCACCTGCAACTAAGATTGAACATGGCACCTTGAGTTGAGTGGCCACGAGCTGCCGATGGGGCGGCTAGATGGCCACTGGACTTGGGAGCTGAGCTAGCTGCTGCGCCCTCCACAACTAAGATTGAAGGTCAACAACTTGGCTGTTCTCCTTCCTCAATTCCCCAATAAAATCTTGAAAAAAAAGAAAAATAGGGCTTTTTTTTTTTTTGATTGAGACTGTAAACTTGGTATTAGACTGAAATCTCTGAAAAACTGCTCTCCTCAGAGCATCTGGAATTGCTAGATCACCACAGTTACCAGGATTCTCAAAGTTCAGTTTTTGCTTTTCTTGTGACTAAGTTCTCTGAGCTAGACTTCTCTATTTCCATCATCACATTTTAGGTCTGCTTCATTCTCTTTTTCTTTAAAAGCTCTCAGCCAGATTTTAATACCAGATTTTTTGGCACCAAAAAAAAGCTTTTTTAATTGTGAAGAGCATACATGGCAATTTCAGTTAGACAAACCTCAGTTCCCATTTCCCTGCGGGCACCGGACATTCGTATTATGTGGGCGCACTTGTTGAGCCTTGAATCTTCTTATAAAAGGGGACTAGGAATATATTTCTGTGAAGATCAAATTACACAAGAGTAAATAATCAGTTTTTTCATTTGCCTCTCCCTTTTGTGAGGCACAATGAAAATTCATTATACCTTTGTCAACTCGTACACCCCATGTGACCTTTTCAGAATGAGTAGGCATAAATTAAATTAAACCTACCTTAACCTTTTGAACTTTGAAAAATAAGTTCATTTCAGCAGTCCCAAATTCTAAATTGTATGGTTCAAAATAAGACTATGTGCTTATTTCTTAGAAGGAATATTTTTAGTTTAAAGTGAATAGATTATATACTGTGTAACCCATGTAACTATACAAAATGAGGAGTGGAAGTCCTTATTTCTTAAAATTGAGATTTTGTTTAGTTTTTAAGGAAACATTTTTATTGAACATTTAAAAAATATTAGCAAACATGATATGAGAATTCAGAGTACTTGGCTCTTAAGTACATTTTGAACTCATAAACTTCATTTGGAATTTTGGAAAATGTTCAATTTTAGGAACATTATTTGAAGAAATATCACTGGTATTTTGTGGCCTGAAAAAGAAAGTATATTTTGTTCTGATTTTTATTTCTTTATTTGACTTTTGGGTGTTGGCCCTTCTGGTGCAGTGGTTTTTCTAGAAAAGTGAAATGTGTTGCCTTTATAGGAATCTTCAGTTTTTAAGTGAAAGATCTCTTTGTACCAAATTTGTGCTCAGAAAAAACTTTCTCCTCTAGTTATTAGGAAAATACCGATGAAGTGAGTAGTTGAAAGAAAGAGAATGCTATTGATAATTTCTTTCTTTCTAGATTTAAATATTTGTGAATTAGGATAGTAAATTGAAATACAATGTTTTAAACAAATGCACAATATATTTATTACAGTTTAACACTTGTAAACAACCCATTTTTTGCAGTTGATATTTATAAGGAGTCATCATTTGTTTTACATATCTTTTGACTGGAGTAATCAGTACTTATTTTTCATATTAATGGGATTTTATATATATGTGTGTGTGTGTGTATTTGGATACATATGTATATATATTTTTCCAGTTTCAGCTACAAGTGTGCAGTAGCTTCATATATAACCAAAATCACCTTTATTGTCATTATAACGTCCCAGGAAATCTAGTTTGAGTGGCTTAAATCTTTTTGTCATCTATTTTGCTATAAAGTAGTGCTTCTCTTTTAAAAGTATCTTAGCAGCTTTATGGTAAAGGCACTTGGTGAGCGTGGTGTCAGGAAATTTCGCTTGTGCTCTCTACTTACTACTGTCTCTTTTCTGTCCCTTTAAAGCACTAATACTTGAGAACTTTTCCTTTTGTAAAACTTGTCTCAGGTCATAAAATGTGTTTTTGTTTCTTTTATTTATAATTGTTTCCCTTTAGAAGATAATGGCTAAAATTAAAAAGATTGAGTATTGCCAAGAATGTGAAGGAACCGGAACTCTCATACACTGCTAGTACAATGTAAAATGGTGTAGCCACTTTGGAAAACATTTTCTCATAAACACACCAGATATTCCCAGCTTTTCTATTCCTAGCATTTTTTATTTATTTATTTAAGAGAAATGAAAACATGTTCACACAAATATTTGTACATGAATGTACAACGTTATTTGTAATAACCCCAAACTGGAAATATCCCAAATGCTATCAACAAGCAAACGGATAAACAAATTGTGGTATATTCATAAGGGAGTGCTACTCTACAATAAAAAGGAATAAACTATTGATACATATGACAACATGGATGCATCTCAGAATCTTTGTGTAAAAGAAGCTGGACAAAATAGTATGCGTGTTGTACGATTCAATTTATATAAAATTTTAGAAAATGCAGACTAATCAGTAGTGACAAAAAGCAGGTCAGCAATTGCCTGAGTAAAGGAATAGATGGGTAACAAAGGAACAAGAGAAACCTTTGGAGGTGATGGGTATACTCATTATCTCTATTGCAGTGAGATTTTCTTGTGTGTATGCATATGTCAAAACTCATCAAATTGTACATTTAAAATATGTGTAGTTTACTGACTAAAGTTTTTTGTTTGTTTGTTTAAAGATGGTTTTAAGCTTGTAAAATAGAAAGTGATAGTTGCAAAGAGTCCGTACTAGAGCACTAAGTTCATTGGGGAGAAGGGGTGAGGTCTACTAGGCTGGTAGCTAAATGGACTGCCTTAGATAGATTTGTATTTTTATAGGTGAGATAATTTAAGTGTCTGCTGTGATAAAAATGAAATGTAGTTACTTGACTTTGTATATAGTTTCACACCCACACTTAATATTTTTCACCTTAGTGTATCTAGCCTTTTGCATTTAGTGTTCTGGGCATTGCATTGTAAGAGAAACATTATGTGCATCATAAAAAAGAATAAATACCAAGAGAGGACATCTGAGATAATACAAAGAATCAGATTGCAAATCAGACTCAAGTGAAGCAGAGATCTTATTCAGTGTTAAGCTTTACTAATAATTTCAAGGATGCAAGCATTCAAAAGGCAAAGACGAAGCAGAGAGAGTTGTGGGATCCTGAGAACAGCTCCTTAAGTCCTTCCTTTCTGCCTCAGACATGCCTTTGGTCCAGAGTATTAGAGGAGGTCTCTTAAGTGAGAGGTGCAGGTTATACACAGCAGAGAGAATTTAGGTTATGAAACATCTCCATTTATTACTCAGTTACATAGCTTACTTAACAATTTTCTGGGAGCCATGGCCCATAAATTCATAGATTCTATCTAAGTTCGCTTACCTTGCTCAATCCTAAACCAGAGACATCTTGCTAAAAGCAAAATCATTCCACAGATAAGGACTTAACCCATAACAGAGAAATAGATCTTGTAGATCGGCTGCTTAACTTGTCTTTCCAGCATCACAGCTATCTTCAGCAGTATGAAGGTCTGTTTGTACTGAAGGTGGGCTAGATTTGTTCTGTATAGTTCAGGAGGGCTGAACTGGTTCCGGAGGACAGAAATGAAAAGGATGCCCATTACAACTTGCTGTATAAAGCCTTTCTGACAATTACTCATACATAATACAGTCTCCAGGATGGAAAAATGACCCCCTTGGTGCTAGATGTGTGCTCCCAAACAGTGCAGGAAAGAGGAACTTCTGCTTTTCATGGAGGTTGAACTTGATGGCCTCCACTTCCCATCCAACCCTAATGGGCTTGTCTTTAGGAGAGCAATACTACTATCTCTTTATGTTCTTAGAGTTTACTGTCTCTGTTGATTTATAGGAAAGGAAAGTGATCATTGTTGTTTTAAACTCATTTAATTCTACTTATTATTTTATTTGAAATCATTTTTTTCTCTTGATTTTCTCAAGCCATTTGTGATTTTTTCCCCCCTCAGTTTAAGATCCTTAATGTGCCCATGTCTTCCCAACTTGCTGCAAACCACTGGAACCAGCAGCAGGCAGAACAAGAAGAGAGGATGAGAATGAAAAAGCTCACACTAGATATCAATGAACGGCAAGAACAAGAAGATTATCAAGGTATAAAATCACTTATAGGGCAGATGTGGGAAATTTTGATGCCGTTTAGGCAGAGTTGTTATTCTCGACCTTTCCATGCCATGTTTGTATATATTTAGTGTGAGAAGCTGATTGATTTTTACATTCTATCTATCTTCATTTTTCTCTCACTTATTTGTACAACAATAATGTAATTTTCATCATAATTTGCTCATAATTTTAAATTTCATCAGAATCTCATCATAACTCCTTAATTCAGTTAGTTCTATACTGTGAGAGCTATGTTTGCAGGTAAGATAATTTTTAATCATTTCATGTTATCAGTCAACTGTTAGCAAATTAACAAATATTAGCTCGTTTTGTCTATTTGGGAGTCCCGGTCTCAAAGACCTCATGTTCCCTAGTTTTGAGGGTATGCTCAAATTAGGATTCTAGTTTCATGCAGAAATACTCAGCACTCTTGGATTAACTGGAATCTTCTGTTTAGAGCCCATGGACACCTCAAAGCCAGCCTTTTGGCGTTTCTATGGCACCAGATTTTAGAGCCATAATATGGCTATTTACATAGCGCTGTCCTGACAGCTGTTTTTTGTGCAAGAGGTTGTTGTGTAAAGACATTCTTGGTGTTCTATCTTTAAGTCCCGTTTCTAGAATCTCCTCTTCCAGTTGATACCTGGCATTCTTAATAATAAATAATAATAGCTAACAGTATAAGTGATTACTTTGGTCTGGACACTGTTTTATGTGATTTTTCAAAGCATTTAATCCTCACAACAATTCTATGAGATAAATGCCTATTATCATCCTCATTTTACATTTAGGGAAACTGAGCCGAAAGTCCCACAGCAAGCAAGTGGCAGAGCTGGATTTGAACCAGTACTGTCTGGCTCCAAGCACGCTGCTTGTAGTGTCTGTACCATACTGCTTCTAGTGCTGTTGTACTGCCTCACAAGACCCTTACCTGTGGCCAGCCTGACAAGAAGGGGGACATGGGCTATGGAAGAGTACATCTCATCTCCTGATGTGCTCCTTCAGTACTTCATAATCATTTCATCTGTGTAATAGTCGTTTTTCTTTAGCCAGCCACCTGACAGATCTGACACACTCGTTTGTCTCCCTAGGGCTTTATTTGCTTTCACGGGGGAGAACATTTACCAGAGTTCACCACCTTTTCTCTTTTGGGGCTCGTTACAGAAATGCTGCAGTCTCTTGCCCAGCGCCCAGCTCCAGCAAACACCAACCGGGAGCGGCGGCCACGATACCAGCACCCAAAGGGAGCACCTAATGCGGATCTAATCTTTAAGACTGGTGGGAGGTAGGATGGCCTCTCTCGTTTCTCCATAGCTCCTTGTTTTTCATGATGTCCATATGGACAAATCAGATAGTTCTGGATTATACTTATTCATAAAGGCCAAATTACCACCAAAATTAAAAAGTCTTTGTGTAGTAGATATTTGAAAAAAGAAAACCTGTTTATAAAATAGTTCCAGTTTTGTTCTGTTTTTTAAATCTTGATTTCAGCCACTGATTCTGACTTTCACTCTCTCCGAGTGGACTTCTCAGGGTTTTTAAATTTTCTCTTTCGCATTTATAGAGAAGACGAGTTACAGATTTAGCTTGAGAGAAATCACAGGCTTTGTGTTAGGATCTCTCAGGGTCAATGTTAAGTCATCTTAATGTTTACAAAAACTCAAAGCCTGTTTACCTACTTTCAAACATGCAGGTTGAGTTTGTTTTGAGGTATTTTGTTTGTTTCTTAAATTATAAAATGTCCTCCTGGAATTTATGCCAACTCTACTTGAACTTGTGTTGCTTAATGTGAAATAATTACAACTCTATAAGGAATTTCACATAGAAGATGTTCCCTAATAAGACCACATTCATCTTTTTTAAAGGATTTTAAAAATTATTTAAAGTTTTTCTGGGATCTGATCTAAAGACCCATACCATCAACCCAATTTTCTGTTTTGTGATCAGGTTACTATCAAAAGTGACATTGGCTTTACTGCTCTTACTGATCTCCCTCAAGTGTTAAGTGTTTAGATGGAGGATGTACAGCAGCCCCAAGATGTCGCCCTGTTGGGGACAGGCGAGCAGATGTAGAAGGGAGCCTGCTGGGAGCGGCACGAGCACTTTGTTTTTGAGGAGAGCAGCACTGGGGAAAATGCAGGTGTTAGAGCCTATGTCTTTTACTCACTAAGTATATTTGTGTGTTCCTGGTACCATTTTTCTTTGAACTGTATGCTCAGCCAACTCTAATCAAATTGCAGTTTAGAAAATTGGTTTGTCAAGACAGTTTAGGGATCTGTTTTTTAACACCTGTTGAGTGCAATGTTTTTAGAAATCTAAGTTATAAATGCTGTACAAAGCCATCTAATTAGGCATAATGATATATTAGGTTATTTTTAATTATCCAAACTTCATTAAAGTCCCTGATAAAAGCTTCTTTGCTGCTAAATGTAAATACACATAAATACTACTGCTAAACCTAGGTAGGTTAATTGGCCATGGAAATATTCATGTCCTGCTTTTACATTTTCTTAGAGTGGCTTTAAATACATACCATAGTGTTCTTGATAATTCCTGTCTCCTCTTCTTGTCTCAAGATTGGAAGATAGAACTAGTAGAATATTTTTATCTGGATGTTTTCCATCAACTTCACCTGTCTGTATTGTACCTTAACATCTCTGAACACCATTATTTATTAATGCTCAGTCCCTTCTCAAGTCAAATATTGCGAATATTGTGTCTTTTCCTCATTTCTAAGTGTTTGACTTTACAGAATCAGTAAGTATGATGTTTGATACATAATTGATATCTGCAGTAGGATTTGTTCCTCTCCACTTACATGCATCCAGCACCTACCGTGGGTTCAGTCCTGTACTATGGAAAATTAAAAAGTAGAAAAATACAAAGTCTTAACCTTCAATCCTATATTATAGTTCAGTGGGAAAACTAAGTACAGGTACTTGAAAGAGCTAACCCTAGTCATATATTTCTTTTAAAAATCATTGATTGAGAGTGTTAAGTGCCAAGCATTTCTCAGACCATAGGGAACAAAGATATGGGAAGACAGATGTGTAAACATACAGATGCTGTAATGAGTGTGTATATGAACAGAAAGGTATGCCTCTCTTAGTTTGCTACCAGTTTTTTAGCTGTTTTTCAAAATTCTCTCCCTACAGCCCCCCAGTTAGCCTAACTTGGAAGAACTGGCCACATTTGTTCTTTCCTTCTCACCGCCCACTTGTGCGGCTGACTGTAGTCTCCTGCCTCCCCTGCCATTTCACTGAAACTGCCTCCCCCAGCCACCAGCTGCCTCCTCGTCTTCATTCAGGAGTCTCTTAGGCTCTCAGAGCACGTAGCATGTGGGCCGCCTTTTCTTCTTGGCATACTCTTCCCTTGACCTGGCTCTGCTGTCTTCTGTTCTTCCTCTCCCCTCCCCGACTCCTGCCACTCCTGTCTCTTGACTCCTTTCTGGGCTTGCCTCTACCTGGGGATGCTTGTGTCTCTAGTTTCTGGCTGTATATCCGGCTATCTTCTAAATAGCCACCTAGACGTCTCACGGGAACATAAACCTCGGTGTCTCCCTTGCCCCCAGCTGCCCTCCTCCTCTGTTCTCTGGCTCAGTGAATGGAAACACTGCACACCCAGTTGTCCAAATTAGAAAATGAGGTTTTAGTTTAAACTCCTTTCTCCCTCAGTTTCCATATCTAGTTAATTAACAAATCCTGATTTTTCTGCTGAATGGTTCTCACACTTGCCCATTTTATTCCACCTCCACTGAGAAATCCTAGCTACCATCACCTCTCATTGGATTCCTGGCAGCAGCCTGCTGATCTGCTTCTCAGTCTCCAATTTCAACCCCTTCTGTTTCATTCTCTGTGCTGTGCCTCTACCGTGTGCTTTCTACAATACAAATCTGCTGTCTGATTATGTGAGCTCTTCAGTGGGTCCTCATGGCTTGTGGGATAAAGTCCAAACTCTTGAACTTGTTAACACAGCCCTGCATGATGGGGATGTGCTTACTTTATTGGCTTTATCTCTTGCTTTTTTTTTTTTTTGGCTGAGCCATCCTGCCACCTGTTGGCAGCTCAGGGGCAGCTCAGCTCGGGCCGGGCATCGAACCACTGTTGCTCAGAGCTCACACTCTTGAGCGAGCTCTTAACCAACTGAGCCACTCAGCCAGCCCCTCTTACTATTTTTAACTTCTACTCCCAAGCAAGCTGACCTTTTAGTTCTTCTTTTTATGGTCTTTTGTCCTCCCTCTGTTTGGAACCCTGTTGTGCTTTCCCCTGAACAGTACCTGCTCCTTCGTCAGGTCACACCTTGGTACTCGGAAGCCTGGCAGGTCAGTGTGTGTGTGTGCCACCCTGGCTCACAGCCTTCCCACAGACCGAGCACACCACCTTACTCACTTGTCCCCGTGAGATTGAAACCTGGGGGCAGAGGGGGAGCCATTGTGACTCCTCCGTAGTTCCTGGCCCATAGTAGATGCTCAGCAAACATTTGTTAAATGGACAAAGGGCCTTTTACAAATCTATGTGTAGTCATTTCACAAACTTTCTCCTTGTGTTTTCCTCCCTAACTCTTCCCTCTCATTTCTGGATTTTGTGAGAGTTCCAACTCTTTTTTTTTTTTTAGCTGAGCCATCCTGCTACCTGTTGGCAGCTCAGCGGCTGCTCAGCTCGGGCTGGACTCGAACCGCTGTTGCTCAGAGCTCAAACTCTTGAGCGAGCTCTTAACCAACTGAGCCACTCGGCCGGCCCCAAGAGTTCCAACTCTTGAGCAACCCTGTTTTAAATCTCTTCTTAAAATCGAAACATGAAAAAAAAAAATCCTAACTTGTCCATTGCTCTTGAAAAGGCCCTCTGTGATAAAAGTGTCGTGATATTTTCAAAGCCAGAGCTATTACAGTATGGGCTTGGATGCCCAGTGCAGAGGAACAAGCAGACATGTAAACGTGAGTTTTTGAGCTTTTTGAGCACCAAATGTTCTTTGCCATTTTTTAATCTTAAGTTTTAAGTGAAGAAATGTAGTCATTTGAAAGAACATAACTGATGGGGCAGAGCCTCTTGTTGCTTTGTCTCTTTATTTTCTCCTATTTTTAATGCTGGGCCAGACTTGGTAGAAAGACGTTTATGTGGAGCAGTGGTTTATCAGCTCTCTTACAGAGAACATGCTGACTGGGGAAACATGCTGACAAAGGAGCAGAAGGAAAATTCTGTGAGTGAGATCTGAGAAACGGTTTTCAGTTTGAGGCTTAACTTGGCTAGTGGTTTTTTTGTGTGTTTTTTTTTAATATCAATATTGTTGAAATTACATGGCAGGTACAGGGAAATTTATTTGGAAACTCATTATTAAAGCATTTTAATGTTTTTCTTACCTGTGGATTTTGGTAAGGCTCCCAGACATTAATTATTATTTTTATACTTTCTAATCAGAATTAAAATAAGACTGTAAGTTAAAACTTCTGCCCTTATCACTGGGCAGTAATGCTCTAACACAGTATGGGCATTTGCTTATACTGAGTTAAAATAGCAATAGGACTCTAAGTAAACCAATTAACCAAGAGTCCCTTAGTACAGGACTCAAGTTTTCTGCTCTGTTCATGTCAGAAACACTGAAACTTGACATCTTTGCAAAGTGTTAGTACTAAGATGGTTTATATGCTACAAATTCACATGGGTTACACCAGTGCTCCTCAAGCTTTAAAATACGTATTTTAATCACCTTGACGTTTATTACACTGCTGGTGCTGATTCATTTCTAACAAGCTCCCAGGTGATATCAGAGCTGCTGGAGTGTGGACCACACTCTGGAGTAGCAAACGCTTATACTAACAGGCTTTTTAAAAACCCATCTTAAGGAGAGTGTGCATTTTTTATTGCATATTCTCTATATGTCCTTATTTGTAAGATCAAATAAGTGATAGTTTTGTTATAAAATAGAGTCCCTCCTACAATAACATTTAATCCAAAGTGTAGATTGTGAGTACTTTTTGGGCCCTCTGATTTTTAAATCTCTCAGATTCGTCGTTTGCTTCTAAACTAGTCAAGTGACACCCCCTACACAATACCTAGTGACATAAGTGTGTCTTACTTATCAAAGACTATGAACAGTTTTTTCCTATCATTCATTGCATTTATTTAAAGTATTTTTATTTTAGACCATTGCTTTGTCTTGATTTCAGGAGAGAGACTTTCCTCTTTCTCTCAGGGAATACTTGTGTTATTGACCTTTTTTCCATTTAGTTCAATTCTACATAAGTTATGGATATAGCCAGCTAAAGTACACTTTTTCATATTTGCACTTTATTCTTTGGAAGTTTCTGGTTAACATAACTTGCCTTGTGAAAAACAAACTATTATTGGGTTGGTGGAAAAGTCATGACATGTTTTTCGTTGCAAAAATTCGTCATGGGGCCGGCCGAGTGGCGCGATCGATGGTTAAGAACTCGCTTGGGATGCCAGAGGGCCCCGGTTCGGATCCCACATATGAGGGCCAGTGACACTGCCCTCTACAGCTAAGATGCTGAACAACAGCTCAACCTGGAGCTGGGGTGCCGTGAGTCGCCGGCGACGGCGTAGGCTGCAGCCCCTGTGGCAGTGGGTTGCCATGGGCTACCGTGTGTGGCCAGCAGCCACAGTGAGCGGCCGTCCAGAAGCCGGCGACTGATCTGCCTCACCAGAGAAGAGCGCAATGATAGTGCCAACTTGGGCCAGTGAAGCAACATCCTCCACAACTAGATTGAAGAACAAAAAACGACAGCAACTTGTCTGTTCCCCTTTCCCCAATTCCCCAGCACTGTTCCCATTCCCCAATTAAAAAAAAAAAAAATTCGTCATGACTTTTCCGACAACCCAATCAATAGTTTGCTAGAGCTGCCATAAGAAAGTACCACACACTGGGTGACTTAAATCACAGAACTGTTTGTCACACAGTTCTGGAGGCTGCAAGTTCGAGACCCAGGCGTCAGCAGGGTTGGTTCCTTCTGAGGGCTGTGAGGGAGAATCTGCTCCAGGCCTCTCGCCTGGCTTCTTGTGGCTTCTGGTGGTTTGCCAGCAACCTCTGGCATCCCGTGGCTTCTGCAGCACCATCCTATCTCTGCCTTCATCTTCACGTGGCATTCTTCCTGTGTGTGTGTGTCTGTGTCTGAATCTCCCATTGTTCTAAGGACAAGGTCATACTGATTTGCGAGCTCATCCTACTCCTTGTAACTAATTATATTTGCAATGACCCTATTTCCAAATAGAGGTACTAGGGGTTAGTTAGACTTCTACATATGAATTTGGGGGGTACACAATTCAACCATCACACAAACCGCGGATTTCAGCATCTGAGAAAGTGGTTGTAGGAAAGATACCCAGATCACTGTCTGAATTGCTCTCCTTAGGTCCCCTCTAGAGGCTCCTGTGGGTCTTAGTCAGTAGCGGGTTGTGTGCTCTTTGCAAAGCACTGATTTGTGTGGCGACATCAGTAATCAGTGGCTGGTGGTGGTTAGGAGCTCTTTTCTTGCCGGAGGTTTGTCCTCTGTACCGGTTCTTTAATGTTGCCCTGTTTGTGCCTCCAGGAGACGTTGATCCAGCAGCACGTGTCATTTCATTAGGTCCTGTATCTGATGTTGTGGATAGTGGAGTCCTCCAGCAATTGAATGAGAGCAGTGGACACATCTCAGCATGTCGGTCTAGAGAGTTGCGAATCCAAACCTGGGACAGGCTGGGGCCATGAGGCGGGAACAGCAGCCTCTGCCAACACCGGAACAAGCCGACGCTTCCAGATGAGGCATAAACGGCCTTTTGTAACGGAAATCACGTGAGGGTTAATCTTCTCTTGAGAATAGCAGTCAAGAAATGAGACGGTTAACTTGACTCCTGAGCAGTTACACCCAGAAGAGCGGCAGTGAGATGACTGAGCCGGAGAAGAAAGGGTTGTAATGGTAATGGTATGGGGGAAACGAACTTGAGTTTTAAACTTGATTTGAGTTACAGTGTCTCTGAATTGAACATCTCATGTTGAAAGAAGATACATTTGGGGGCTCCAGGACTACAGTAGAAAAGTATAGAGCAAGCAGTAAAATCTTCTAGTAAAAACTTACATGCAGGACAACAAAATGATGAAAGATAACTAAATACCAGGTAATCTACCAGAAAGGCTTTTGTTTAGGAATTTGCTTCAAGAAGAACAAGGGATGAGGGAGAAAAATCAGTTTTATCCATCAGGGTCAGTGATATAAAATTGCCTGCTAGGGTGAAAGAAAAATGTGAAGACTGTTAGTATACACAGAGCATGGATTCAGATGGCTTAGGGAAGTCTGACACCAGCCTGAGAAGAGGGACACCGAGCCCATTGTAAGTATCATTGGAAACAGCGTGCCAGTCAGCATGTCACAGGAAAAGGATGAAGGACAACAAGCAGTGGATCGGAAGACTTTGTTGACCTTCATGGGTTTACAGCCTCTGTCTCTAAACAAAGTATGGAAACAGTAGAGCTTTTGTTTTGCTTTTGTTTTTGTTTTGTTTTGTTCCACCCTCCCATCCACTCCCCCCAAATAGAAATAAGGATTCTTAGTCTGTTTCTGGCAATCTGTTAATTTATTAGGATAGTTGTCTTTCGTTTGCTTTCCAATAGGCGTAGTAAATTTAGTTAAAGAGCACATCTGTAAGCTACAACTTGATTACATCTTTTTTTCTAGCTATTTTGCATTTTTTCTTTTACCATGTTTCAGTTTCTGCATGTAGAATTAAATAAGAAACAAAACTTGTAAAGTTGTAACATTTCACTTGGAAATGCTGCCCGAACTTCACCAGCTTCAAAAATCTGACCTTTGCCGATGCTGCAATAAAGTGTTGTAATTTAGAGCTGGTGTGCTTGCGTTTTCTTTGGTTTGGGTTTTGAAAACCTATTAAATGGGTCAGTCATAGATAGCTTCCACGGTCATCTTCGTCCTTTACGAAGTGGCCTCAGAGATGATTTCTCCAGCGTGTCACTCACTAGAGGTGGTGCTCTCACGTCAGCATTCTGTATTTTGCATTGTTTTCCTGGGTGCCTGAGTTAGCTTCCCTTTGGGTCAGTACAAAAGGAGCCTGTGAAGTCCAGTGGAATGAACATTTTTAGAATAGGCTGGACGTTGGTTAAAATGGAAGGTGTCGGCACAGCACCATCTAGCAGGAGGGCTTATGACTTCACCCGATTTTGTGCAGCAGGGTGATAAGAGCCTCTGTGAGGGAGGCAGGCGATGTAGAGACCGATGGCACGAACCATTGTTTTCACTTTCCACGGCTGACTTACACAGGCCAAAGGAGTGACTGTAATCACAATTGCAAAAACATCTAAACTTCAGCTGAGTCATTAGAATTTGAAAAGAAATAGAATTTTAATTTAAAAAAGAAAGTTTCAGAACTCCATGTAATTCAGTTATGCATGTTTTCCAACCCTCCTCACCATCTTCATCGCTGACCTGTGTGCTATTACTTACCAGCCTGTGTTGGGGAGAAATGATTTGCAAGTTTTGTCATTTTCATAGCATTTCTAAGTTTTAAATTGTCGGGGAGCCAGGGATAAATGTACAAGGCAGAGGATATCTGAAAGTCAGCTCTGGTAATTCCCCTTCGTTCACCTGTTACCTAGAAAGAACAAGGTCACTAGCAGGTGTAACATATTTTGGGAACCATGAAGAGAGTGGATCAAATAAGGTGGTAACATTGGTCCTTGATTCAGTCAGATTGCTGTTTACAATGATCGGTTATTGGTGACCAAAAGATTAGTGACATGTAAGATAGGTTCTGTGTTAACCACCAAGGAGCTTGCTTACATTTTTTTTTAAATGAGGGGGAAAGCCTCCTAAATTTTGAAAAATACTGTGATTCTCTTAAGTTTGTTGGTCTTTTGGACCTTTCTTTCTCTCGAGATCCACCAGAGGAATCAGATGTCAGGTGTCAGACTTCGTTCTTTGATTCTTTAATTCCTTTTTGGGGACTAATAGGCCAGAAGGGCTTCTGGGGACCTCCGAGTCTCTGTCGGGTGAGTCCCTGCATTTGCCTGTGATAGCTGTCCAGGCCCTTACGTGCTCTTAGTCTCCATACAGTCATTAGAAACTGGCGGCCAGACAGAAGAAAGCTGCAGGTAGTACACAGCAGCTAGAACCAAACAAGGAGCAAGACTAGAAAAACAAATGCCCCTAAGACACAGCAGCGCGGGAGAGCGGGGCACAGACCCCCAGGAGGCCCTGGGGCAGCGATCCTGGAACGTGTGGGATGTTAGCATTGGAAGAAACACTCAGTTCTCGAATGGGGACCATCCTGAGATGTGTGGTGAGCTCAGTCATTGGTGGTGTCAGGCTTTTTGTGATTAGCAGAAATAGCTTCATTATGGGAAGGAAATAGACCCAAAGTGGGGAGGCCAACAGCAAAGAGAGGCAGACCTCAGATCTCTTAACCCCAGCCATATCATAAAGCATCTCCATAGTACTCATAATGGAAAACCCGAGGTAATGGGGAGTGTGTGTGTGTATTTTTTTTTTTCTTAACAAAAGGCAGAGATGAAAGATATCTCAGGTTCCATCCTATAATAAAATGGCTTTACAGTTTTTTACATTCGGGAGTCAACCTCCCACTATCCAGAAGCCCAGTGTGTTATTTAGTTGCGAATGAAAGATACCCAGTTTGAAGTCACTTGAAACTCACAGGAGATTATTGTAAGGATCCTAAAGTTTGAAACCAACACAAGGATATCGTTGGGCTTTAGAAATAACTAAATGGGTCAGAATTCGTGTGTGCCTTCTGCTGCTCAGCTTTCTTCTTCCTCCTCGTCTTAGTCTGCTCTGGCTGCCATAACAGAATCCCATCGATTGGGCAGCTTAAACAGCAGGCATTTATTTCTCCCAGTTCTGGAGGCTGGAAGCCCAAGATCAAGGTGCCAACATGGTCAGCTTCTGGTGAGGCCCCCTCCTTGGCTTGTAGATGGCTGCCTTCTCACTATGTCCTCACATGGTCTTTCCTCTGTGCCTCCTTGGTGTCTCTTCCTCTTCTAAGGACACCAGTCACGTTGGGTTAGGGCCCCACCCTTATGGCCTTGTTTAACCTTGGTTACCGCCTTAGAGGCCCCATCTCCAAATTACAGTCACTCCAGAGGGTCGGGGCTTCCACCTATGAATTTAGGGAGGGACACAGTTCAGTCCATGACACTCACTGTAAACTTACCTGCCAAAAGTTCCTGAGTTTTATTATCTTGAAGCTACAGAGACAGCTTGGACCCAGCAACCAAGTGTACATACCCACAGAACTGCTGGCCTCGCTTGTCGCAGAGGTCTGTCCTCGGACCAGCAATCTGTGGTCAGGGGGGTGGGTCATGTGAAATGATGGCCACTCTCCAGGAGCCTTAAGAATTACCTGGGGGAGGGCCACTTCCTAAACTCAGTTATCCAAAATTGGGGTTCTCTCAGATTTTAAATGTAAGGTTTACCACATAGCTACAAGTTTATTTCTAAAGTGTGGTTTTTAAAGAATTCCAAATGTTTCATCTGTACAAGTTTTCATGAAAACATCCCTTTTACTCTGCACAGCTGGCCCTTGGGGGTAGTTGTCCCAGCTCGCAGTCTGGGTTCCTCCCTAGACTTGTTTTGAATGAAAACAAAATGGAGGTGGAAGTAATATGAAAAAAATTTTAAAATTCTTAGCATGCTATAAGTAAAATCATATTTTTGGCATTCTTATTTAAAGGTTATTTAAATGTGATTTTTTTTTTTTTAACCTTTGGAAGTCAAAGGACATTTAGCCATCTTCTGTTATCTCAATGGATATGCTGCTTTCTGGAGGAGTAACTTTGAAAATGGTTGAGTTATTAAATGTTTGTTTCCTTAGAAGCGGTTCTAATTTTAGGGTTTTGTTTTGTTTTGTTTTTAGCTGAGCCATCCTGCCACCTGTTGGCAGCTTAGCGGCAGCTCAGCTTTGGCCGTGAATTGAACCAGCAACCCTGTTGCTCAGAGCTCGCACTCTTGAGCAAGTTCTTAACCAACTAAGCCGCTGGGCTGGCCCTGAAGTGGTTCTAATTTTATAGTTATTGGGGAAAGCATTTCAAATTCTGTTGAGTATGTGCATGTATGTGTACAGTACTCATGTTTGTATGCTTTCTTTGGCTTCCTACATGATACTGGATAGTCGGTTTTATTTTGGATTCATGGATTTAAACATTTATAGGACTACTTGGCAACTATGGGAAGAGAAAGACTTGTTGAGAAAACCTTATTGACCCCATTCTGTATACCAGGCACTGATCTAAGCACTGGGATACAGAGAAGAAGGGAAAAAAATCCTTGCCCTCATGGAACTAACATTGTAGCGGCTGAAACAGACAAGAAGTGAAAAACTCAGTGAAATTAAGTAATGATATCTGCAAAGCGCTTATTGCAACGCGTGGCACGCAGGAAGAATTTTTTTATGGTAGTAGCTACTGTTACTACACCTTTGCATATGCTGTTTCTCCTGCCAGGGATATGCTCTCCTTTACTACCTGGCTTGTGCCATTTGCCTTTCAAGATTGAGTTCAAGCTTCACCTCCTCTAGGAAACCTTGCTGTTCTCCCCACCCCCGCGTCAATTTAGGTGCTTTTCTTGAGCTTTATTAAGATGCCTCTTTACCTGCCTGCCTGCCTGCCTGCCTGCCCACCCTTGGGGGAAGATGTGTTTTAAAGGAGGGTGGTTACTCTGCTGCCGTTTTTTTGCAAAAAAGACAAATGGAGCCCCTTGTACAGGAGTACAAGGCTAGGATCCCTGTGAAGTGCTCAAAAAATGCTTCCCACACCCCCACCCCGACTATGAGGGAATTTGCTGAACCCCAGGACATGCATGTGGCCATATTCCGAACCACCTGCCCCTGCCGTGTTTGGAACAGGACTGTTGCACTTGACCCAAATGCTGCCTGACCTGAGCTCTCACTTGTCGGGCTTGACCAGTTGAGCTCAGCAATTTGGAAAGTGGAAACAGGTCCCACTAGCCTGCCATTTGCTTGGTTCACACTGACTCTGGGTGGTGGTATAGCAACTTTGGGGTCAGTCATTGCTGGCAGGAAATTACTTGTCTGCACTGATGGGCAGAGAACGTCATTCTAGTTCCATGAACTGTTTGCTCTGTAATCTAAAAAGTGAACTGGTGGGCTTCATGTATTCCAAGAGCTGTGTGCACCTGTATACACGTGCCATTAGGGGGTGCTCAGGTCTGGGACATTTTTTCAGTAGAGGCCTAGAGACAAGAGATGCTTATTCTGAGGGGCAGTGAAGGCGCCAGGCTGACCACTGGTCACTCACTCATTAGATGTTTATTGAGCACCAGCTCTGATACCTCCTCCCTGTATGACCTTTATTAACCTCTATACCTCAGTTTTCCCTTCCATAAAAGTGGGGCTAACTTGTTAGAGTTGTATGAGGAATTCATGGGGCAATGGACAAGAGGGTCCTAACACATTGGCTGTTATATAGTGAGTGCTCAGTAGAGGTTAACTGGTAGGAGTACTTACTACCACAGCTTCTATGTGCCAGATAGTGTTGGATACAAAGTTGACTGAGCAGACTCTGCCCTTGAAGAACTCATAAACCCTTCAAGCGTTCAGAGAACAAATATCAAGTTCAAACCTGGGTGGCTAAGATCACACACATAATTTCCAATAAACTGCTTTATTGCCCACAGAAAAATGTGCCTGAACAGCAGTGGGAATGCCACCCTGGAGATGACTGGCCTGGACCAAGTCCTGTGTCCTTGCCAAATGGAGAAGTAATGTCCCTATGGCCCCAGAGATTCTGGCCACTTAGATTCAGGCATAAACCTTTTATTTTCTCATGAATTTTTTTCCTGTACACCTTTTCCTTC